TGGCTCGAGAGATGCACAGTCAATTCTTGTTACAGTCCGATCAACTCGATTACACTTGGAACCCGGAAACTATGCACATCTTTTGCTTTTGTCATAAGATGGCGTTGATTGTGGGCTCTGGTCTGGCTGCTCTCGGTCTCAAAACTTCACCACCAAGGAAGGTCAAGAATGCATTACGGGGAAGTTTCCCTGATCTTAACCCAAACATTGTCGAGGAAGATGAAGAGGAAGATGAGACTTGTGCCATTACAGATATCCCTGATGTATCTGTCCCACCTGACCATGCTGATTCTGATTCCGAGCCTGATCTTCAGGCTGTTGTGGCAAGGGCTGAGGATGAGGATGAGCCCCTTCTTCCTCAAGATCCAGATGAAGAACATGATTGGGACGCAGCTGATGCAGCTGACGAGACTGACCCTGTGCTTATTGCTGAAACTAAATTGGCTGCACCTCAACCCACCCATCGTCGCGAGTCAAACAAGCTGGATTCCCTTTTGGACAAGGTCAATTCATTTCAATTGGTCATATCTGGTCTGGAATTACACTCTGACGTTTGTTTACTTCAACCAATAGATTGATTTCATCCTTCGCCGTATCACACGTTCTGCAGCTTGGCGTGAGGAATATGATCGTGTGGCAAAGAGCATGGGATTGAAACTTGAATCACTCATTGCTGCTTACGGAATTCGTTGGAACATAAAGTACATCAGTAGGGACAAGGCTTGGAAAGCTCGAGACGTAAGTTGTTCATTAATAGTACTTTCTTCAACCTCTAAAATCATTGACGTTGAAAAAACACTTCTCTAGGTCATTGATCAGCTTCTCAAAGATGATTTGGCCCGAGTTCATGCTAAAAATCGTCGACCTCGTAAGAATGGAAAACCCCACGGGTACTTCCACGAGCTAACTATCACTCCATCAGAGTGGGCGCAGGTGAGGAATCTCAATGCGGAGCTCAAAGTAAGTTGTGTTTCAATATTTGATCCCACTTGTATATATTCTATCTAATTGCAATAATTAAATTGGTTGTGTAGCTCTTTCTCGATGCAACCAAACGCATGGAGGGCAGAAAGTCCACAGGTTCAATGGCAATTCCAGAATATGTGGAAATTCGCAAGTCGTTGCAAGACCGAGTGGATTCACTTGAAGCCTCAGATGCCCTCTACCCAATGTTGGCTACAATGTTGGAAAAGACTCAGGCTTATTTGAATGAAGCTCTTTCCTGCAATACATTGGTCATGGCTACTATGCTGCATCCAGTATTTCGAATACGATTTTTCCATTCTTTCTTTGGAAAGACATCAGCTGTTGCAATTCAAGCTGAAGAAACTTTCAACCAAGAATTTAAGTTATATCAACTCAAGAATTCACACAAGGTAGGGAAATCACATACGAAATCAAGTCAAACGCAAGCTTCAAGTTCGAAAGCATCTTACTTCAATGTTTATAGTGATGAAGAAGAAGATATGGGAGATGACAACCAGCTCACTGACTACCTGCGTGGTTGTGATCGGATGAGGGAAAATCTTTATAATTTAGATGACCCTAACTCTGCGCTTGACTGGTGGGCGGTGGGTATATCACTATCCTTTTTGGTTTGATTCAGTTGGCTTATTGTATTTTGTTTTAGGCCTATTCTAATCGATACCCTGTGATTGCTGAGATGGCAAAGGACTACTTGTCCTGCTCGGCATCATCTTGTGAACCCGAAAGAATGTTTTCAACAGCAGCGGATGTATGTGTGGCGAGTCGAGGACGATTGTTGGTGATCTCAATTGAACGCCAGGTATCCTGCCAGCTTTGGCTGGCTGAGGGCGTACCGCTGGGCAAGGACTTCATCAAGTTGATGGAGGCTTGTAATATTACCGAGTATAGTGATTACATCAGGTTGTACAATTCATCTCGTGGAAATTCCAGTTGATACTTTCCATTCTTTTTTGGTTTTTCTCTTGTGTTTCTTTTCATTATCTCTTACCCTGCTTAATTACTTAGACTCTATAATATCTCAATAACTCTAACTATCTTTAATAGCGATCTTACTCTTTATGTTACTTTTGAATTATGTTTATTATAATCTGTTTCTGTTACAATCTTTACTGGTTTGCACTTTCAATGTGACCTTTTTTAAATTTTACATAAATTGACCGCTGCAACGCGCTGCAACAGCGCAGCGGACGCTTCTGAAGCTTCGCTGCCATGGTGAGGTTTTGAATGCAGCGGTGAACCGCTGCGTTCCGGCTGCAACGCAGCGTTTATGAGTTGCGCTGTGAGGTATGAGTTTCCTTGCAACGATATTGCCGCTGCGTTTCAGCTTCCTGGCTTGAAGCGTTACGAAGCGCAGCTGGTCCAACGTTGCAAAGACACCATGAATACCCGCAAATCCAAATTTCAAATTATATCTTTGTTTTACCAAGTCTTTGGGTTTGTTGTCAAACCTTGGGTTCTCTAAAGTTTGTTTGTTCCAGATTAGTAATTCCTTAGACCTCAAAAAAGCTTCAAAATGACAAGATTATAGAAAATAGTTCTTCTTGCATCTCATTGTTATGCTGATCTATATGTAATCTATCAAAATGAAAGTTGTATAAGACCAAAAGGCCAGAAAGGTCACAGAGAGCCTAAATCCCTGTTCTGTCAGGAGATATATTTAATGTATTCAAAATCATTAAACCCAATATTCATTTAAGCAAACACAATACCACTTTTAATCAGGATAAGATACCTCAAATTTTGATTGAGTCCCCTAAACACTTCTCCAAGAAGATTCAATTTGTCTAAAATCACAATCACTTCATTTGTGCCCAAAACAACTTTTAATCACATCTTCCATGCTTCATTTATAACATCTCCTGCTCAATTCACATTGTATATGTGATTGGTACTGTCTCACACAGTATATTAAGGGCCTGCTCAAATTGGACCCACTTTTTCTATTTCACAACTAGTTATTACCCCTGATAGAAGCTATACAAGAAAGGCACTGATGTGCTTCTTTCTCTCAAGAGTGGTCACCAAAGAATAAGTTACAGATTCAAGAGATATTCAATGTTATATTGAGAAAAATTCCAATCAATTGTAGAGGCTTTCATCTCATTTTTTCCACTTACAGATACTTCTTTGTGTTGAATTCTTTAAGTTTCTGATAGGTCAGTAAGTTGATGATTCTTGCACAATAGGTCAAATACTCTTATTCATTGGTTCTATTCCACGATATCACTTTACTAAGGTCCACACACCTTCTTGCTCTGTGGTGAAACTTCACACATATTTAAACTCATCCTTTCCATCCATCTTAAAAGCTAGGTGTTAAGAATATCAGAAAGATGTTGAATCCACAGAGATTGTGTACACATAATCATTGTCAATTTCAAATCATGGTGTGATTTTATCACGAGTTCCATCCTCCAACAGCCATCTGACTATCTGTTTAAACACTTTCAGTCAAATAAATACAATTTCTTTGTGGCCTATTGACTTCAACTCCAATACTCTTGAAAGTATCAGTGTAATTTGGTTCGAAACCTCGTTATAAATTCTGCTTGGCAGTCTGTGAACTTCCACTCCAATGCTGAAGAACTTTTAATTATGATCAGTTTCCATATTATCTCATAATCTAAACTCACAAAAATCTCTGAAGATGTCTTGGGCAATGGAAATGACAATCATGACAATCAAGTCTTGGAAGATTAATAATGCAATGGTGATGTTCAGACATTGGCTTCAATTGCCACATACCTGTGATTGTGCATGGTCATCCTCGCATCTGACCTGTCTACTGTCTACCTCGTGACAAACCTTTGAAGTATGAGGTCATCAAAACACAAATGATTGATTATTGTTATCTTACAGGATTCATAAAGATATTGTAGGATGTAAGAAAACAAACAACCACAAGCCGTACAGTAGATTTCATAAAGGTTGAAATCAAGGTTTTTTGAAAATTGAGAGGTGGCCCGTGCGCCACCTGTGACAGTTCTCAAATATGCATACCAGATTGATGAACATACAGTAACGAGACTTTCAACAACCCCAACCCTTCAATTGTTTGGTGGCACAGTGGTCAAGAGCTGTGATTGGGTGGTGCGACTTCAACGGGACTCCTGTGTTCAAGTCATTGCCTTTATATTTTTTACCACCGTTTTTTTGCCTAGAATCAACGATGAAATGGCAACAAGCAAATGTGAGCAATCAAAACCAGCATAGCTTTCCCATTCTTTTAGTTTATGACACCAAGCAAATCAAATATGAAAAACTTGTCAAAAGTTGTGATGACATAAAAGGAAGCCACTCGGGCTCGAACTCAAAAATGTGCACCTTATGAGGGTGTGCATACCCATGCAGAGGGCATTCATCCAACTCACTACATGCAAGGTGGTGACGCCGCGGGTGCGGCGTTGCGCTGACCCCGGATCGACCCCCCGCCTTTGCAAGACCCCCCCTTGGGTTTTGTGCGGCGTCACCGCGACCCCGCATCCGCGGGGTCAGCACTTTGCATGTAGTGACTGTGCCAAAGGTTCTTTTCAGTCGACGTGTCTATGCTGTCTATGTCAGCATTTTGGTATGCATTTTGAGACCTGTCACAGGTGGCGCATGGGCCACCTCTCGATTTTCAAAAAACCTCGATTTCAACCTTTATGAAATCTACTGTACATAACTACATATGTATGCATAAATCAAATCATGGGTTTTGATGGGTTATGTCTGATGTCATCCCCTTCTGTTAACCATCCTTTCAGATCCTCTCGTCGATGATCGACCCCATTGTAGTTTTCGTCGTTGGATTCATCAAAAGTAACTCATCTTGGTTCTTGTACCAGCCACGTTCCCGCGTAGCTGACCAGCTGGTCTCGAACAAACCTTCTCGACAAGTTTTAGTAGGCTTGAAATCTCAAACTGAAATAATCAGAGCTCGCCAAATCTCTGATCGCCACTGAGATCTCCTTGCACCAAACTCTTGGGACAATTTGTTCTCAAAAGAAAACATATTGGTGAAATAACCCAATATGCCATCCTCGAGTCGCACAGCTCAGCTTGCACTTTGGCGCGAGATCGTTTTGAACCGCGAGAGTATTAAACCAGTAAATCAACATCTTGACTTTATTCGAAAGCGATTTGATAAACTCGACTCGGAAGGTTTTATTTGGTCAAAGGAATCGGTCCTTGATATCTTTCTTCAACTCGGCCTATCAGAAAGCCCGCATGACTCTTTCTCGTCTGCGAGCGAAGTTGTTGGATCTCGCCTTCAAGGATTTAAAAGTTTGTCCGGTGGACGTAAGGAAGTGATCGAGATTCAGAAATCAGAACACACATTTCGTCCTCTGGGTCTCATGGATCTGCCTATCGAGGTATTTGACAACATACTCAAAAACCTCGATGGCATAGCTAAGCTCGAAGCTGCGGAGATTTACAAAGAAAAGCGCCGCGGTAAGTTGATAATTATAGGTCCAGGCGGACGGGGTCCGTACATGACCTATTTACACCAAAACCCGCCTGTCTTGAATAGTATTCAAAACTTTTCATTGACTTCTCATAAGATATATCAGCTATGCCGACCGTGGCTATGGCGAGTGAGTCATTTCCAAGTCAAATTGTTCGTGCAGGAAAGATTTCTAATGAAAACCAATTCCTCATACCAAATTGTAGAAACTACAGTTTCCTACTTCTCTTCCAGCACCAATTGATCTGTGGACTGAAGATATTCTCCTCAAACACGGCACCTATGTCCGATCATTATCACTCACACTTTCCGCAAATTGCACTAAACCTGCTGGTCAAATTGCAAAATATGATTCCTTTTAAGATAATCTTGTCCCTCAACGCTATCATTCTATATTTGATTACTACAAAGACTGCGAAAACGACGAAGATCAATACATGGAGCCAATCTCTCCAGAGAGTGTGAGAGCCTTGATAAAGCGGTGCCCCAACGTTTCTGAGCTGGGTATCAAATGTGATTATGAAGCAGGATACAGAGATACAGGTGGAACGGAAACTTTTCTGTTAGAGCTGATTCCGCTATTATCAAGTCTCAAACAACTCCGGCACTTGACATTGGATGATGGACAAAAGATAACTGTCAGGAATGGACATGAATACTTCAAGCTACGAATTGTGAATGGATTAACATCAGAAATTGTTGCTAGTCTACCTCTGCTAGAGTCATTTAATTGCCAAGCAATCACAGCATCTGGAGATCAACAAAAACTAGGCAATAGTTCTTTTGGATTCAATCTATCCCAACTCAAATCTCTATCGCACTTAACTTTATGGGATATCAAAGATGTGGATGTAACTTGGTGTCTTTTTGATTGGCCCAGGACGATTACTAAGCTTGTGATTCAAGAATGTGTTAATTTATCACTGAGCTCAGCACATCGGCTAATTAATCACATCACACCTTGTCTAACAATGCTCACCCTTGAATTTACTCCGAAGTATCGTGACGACATTGCGGAGATTGATTATACCTGGGAAGTTGATCCTACCTGGGATCCTCACAGTCGTTTCTGTCTTCCATCTCTGACCGACTTGAAGTTTTCGACCTCAAACGGGGACCTTGTGACCAGCTTTCAAGACTGTAAATCTCTATGATGTCTTACCTGTACTTACTCGACACCAAACCATTGTAGAACATTGAACATGTTGCTGTTTGAAGAAAATTGGCCTCAGCTCAAGAAATTGGATGTACGTAATTATGCTTGGCGATTTCCATCGAGTCCTCAATCCCAACAAGAAATAGTGGATCAATTAGTTCATTTGCAAAAGCATTGCCAACAAGCCAATATAAAAGCAGACATTACATCACCTTAGTTCTATGGTCAGTCAAAATGTGATTTGAATCTTGTGAGTGGAACTAAGTCTTAGTCAAATGGTAGGATCCAACCTTCTTTAGTTGAGAATTTACTATCTTTCTTCTGTACCATCAGGCCTGAGTAAACAGATACTTGTTAGATCAACCATTGTCACATTTCTTACTTATTTATACATATAGATAAAGAGGTTCATTAGTATAGACTGACGACATAGCTTATACAAATTAGCTTTGTCAGGTGAGGCTATCCTGCAAAAAGTGCGGTAGATATTAAAGACCTTTCTGCACGTGAAAATGTACAATACTTGATGGACTTATTGTTGGGAGATATTTATGAAAGTGCTTTGTAGCAGACATTGCCTGGGTTATCAAGAAGTCAAGTTTATTTGTGCAGAAAACCAACCCTGGGCCAGCAATGCAGGTGTTGTGTGCTGCGCTGTGCTTGCGTCACGGTTTTTCTGACTGCACTGCACTGTAAAATCCATTTCAAAGTTGTGGCCTGACCTGCTGTGCAACAAGATGTGTCAAATTTTGAGCTTTTGTGGGCCGCAACAACATTTGTTGTGTTACTGCTCAGAAAAACTTGAAATTTGACGGTTTTTTGGTGCTGTTGCGCCTTTTGCTTTGCGCGGCGCACAACCCAGGCTAATGTTTTGTTGTTGCGGTACCTACCACAACCCAAAAAACACGCTTTCTGTGGTGTGGTGTGTTGCTGGCACAGGGTTGAGAAAACCGTTGAAGACATGATACTGTACATTGAGTACATGTGTATGACTAGCGCCAGTGAGTTGCATTGAACATTGTGTAATGTGGCACAAAAAAACTTGGAAAATTGCATCACAAATTAAGAATTGTGGAATGAAAAATATTGAAGATATTAAGTATCACGAAGAAAGAGCCCAACTCTGAAAGAGCTGTGTGATTTGAAAACTTTTATTGGTGGATACGAGTGTGTGCTGACTTGTTTTCTTACATTCTATCTCATCATGAATACTGGATGACACGGACCATCAATAACTTGTGTTGACAACCCCATCCTTCTTCAAAGACTTGATATGAGGTGAAATTGACAGACCAGAGGAAAACTAATCAAAATCACAATTCATGAGCATTGAAGCCAATGTGCAGATATAATTGTTTCTTTGTAGATCTTTCAAGAATTGATTGTCTCAATTTTCATTTCAATTACTTAAGGGCCCGTTCGGCTGGACCCCAAAAAACGTTTTTGGCCAAATACCCCACCAAAGCCAAAAATGGTTTTTGGGTCAAAACCGTATTTGGTTTTCTACAAAAACTCTGGTGTGGAAATCAGAAATGGGGTAACCCAATTATCTTATTATTATCATTTCAAAATACGAAAACTACAGTTTTTAGAATAATACATTAATTCAACATGTGTTTTAAGTACTACATTACTTAAGTACTACACTACCTCAATAGTGTGTTTTAAGTTCTTTAATCAGTTTATTTCTTTTTTTTTCTTTTTCTTCTCTCTATACTTTATTTCATTTTTCATTTTATGTGAAGTGTTGCGCTTTTCTATTTTTGTATGTTTCTATTTTTCTATTTCTTAAGGGTTATGTAGTTTGGTGGATGATATGTAGTATGAGAAGTAGTGAAATTTCGAAATTATGGGTTTAGTTATTATGTGTAGTTGAGTAATATATGGCATATGAGGAGTATACAGGTTCAAACTTGGAATTTCGAATTTTATGGGTTTAAATAGTTATGGTTACAGATGTGTATGGTTTTAACAAGTTATGTGTAGAGGAATCATGGTTTTGAGGTATGGGTTTAAATAAGGCTGAATTTCGAAAATCCAACAACTCAGACAGGACCCTGGAAAGCCCCTATATACCCGCCTAATTGGGTATGTAGGAATTGGCCTTTTTGGGTAAAAATGGTCCTTATGTTCTGTGTAGGAATTCTAAAAATTTGAAAAAAAAAGTCACACAGGAGCCTTATTTTGTATGTAGGAATATGTCAAAAAGTGTGGAAAAAAAAATTAGGTTTCTTACACATTAGGTAGGAAAGAGGGTTCTCAGGGCCACCAGGCTACCCACTTCAATACATAAGGTGAGTAGCAATGATCATCGAGTCACAATGAAACCTGATGTTATTGTGTATACATACCAATCATGATAGTATTGAGTTCGAAGCTCAGGTAAGACAATTTTTTGCACATTTTTATGTAAAAGGGTGTGGAAAAATGTCATATTATGACAGTTGATGGTCATTGAAATCGAGATGTCTGACAGTCTGGCATGGGTCAGCAAGAAGGTTGTTTCAACCAGTTTCAACCGAGTCCAAACATTTGAAATGGCCTGAAAGTTGCTGAAACAGCTTGATTCTGCTCGATCACAACATTTTTTTTGTTTGATCTTGATAGTTTTCGTTGATATTAGACACAATTACTATATCTCGTGTAGCAAAAGGAAAAGGTAATGAACGAAAGAAAAAAAACAACCACCAGGATCCTGTGGCTTCTGATCACGCCAATGCAAATGGAGCCACCAAATTGGACCCTCGGACATGTAGTAAATTGGTAGCCATCATGCTGAAAAACTCTGAGCAGATGGACAAGGCTCTGGATCGCTTACATCGATGGAACATTCATGTAAAGCTTGACCTCAATTGGATTGCAAAAAATACATCAACAACTCTCGACATCGCAACACAAACACTTTATACAAGTGGCAATGTATCAGAAGACAATCCACTTGAAGTAAACAAGTTTGTTGTGGTTATAAAAAACAATGTATGTCATCCCCTGTTTCAAATATGAAGCTGCCGACTCTGATCATTTAATGTACTCTTGATTCGTTTTAGATGCTTTTTTTGGGTAAGATCTGTGCTCTCTACATTTACCAGAATGGTAAGCACGAGTGGATCACCAAATCGTCCACTCGATCTAAGCTCTCATATGCATCTACCCAGCTTTACATGTATAAAGGGAATCCTGGAGCGTGTAGTTTTGAAGAAAACTTTCCAAATCGCCTCATATTCTCGCATCTTGATATAGCAGATATTCACTATGTGTTTCCCCCCACCTCATCAATGAATATTACTGAACCCAAGGCTAACACCATATGGATTCCTCAAGCTTATCGTGCTATGTTAAAGGCTATGAGCCAGAAACAGTACATCAAGGCAATTCTCGAACAACTTGCTGTTGAACACGCTAAAGCTAGAAAAAAATAAGCTATACTTGAATTGTAATATCTAACTTGGTTTTTATTTCTCTCCACCTTATCTAGAGATTTGATTTTGTGTTATTTCTTCAAGTTGTTTCGCTTCATCTCTCCCAAATTCAAAAAAATACCAGTCTCTTTAGTCCCTTTTCTGAAACGTTTGACTGCTCTTTTTCTACTTCTTGATATTGAATTCTCAGACCCTGATCTCCCTCATGTGTAGAGATTCACTTTGATGTTTTTACCTGTTACAGCAGTGGACCGACTGCAGTGGCTGGCCAGGAACTGGAAACACAGTCCCTCCAGTGGCTGGCCAGGAATTGAATTACTCGTTTTTTTTAAAACTCAACTACATAACACTACATAGCTATACTACTCACTAGTCTATTTCTCTCTCAACAACTTCAACTCTTGTGATTCTTCTACCAAATTCCCAAAAAAATATACAAGTTTTTCCGGAAAAAAAATCAAGATGTCTAATTGCTCTGAAACGCCCAAAAACACAGATTTTGAGGGTCCTTATGCAGATGGAAGGAATATTGGGACCTTTCTCCGAAAAAAAAATGGTCCTTTGTCAACAGGTAGGAATCCGAGTTTTTTTTGTGAAAACCGGCGAAATTTGTGTAGGTAGGAGGGGAAAATTTCGGGATTTCCATTAGGAGGGTATATCGGGGCTTTCCAGGGTCCTACTCAGACAGATGGTGGTAAACTGGGGTGGTAAACTGAAAAAGCAAGTAGGGATCAGTGTGAAATTATAAATTCATCAGATTATCAAACACCAATATTGGCAAATACAAAATCACAAATGAAAAGGATGATTTTGAAACTCAAAAATGGCTTTCAAAATTCCATAAAAGGCTCCATTTTCAATCATGAGACTTTATTTCAAATGTACTACATCGGTTTTTCAGAGGGTAAATCATGTGGAAGGCATCATATGGGCGCATCTGAACATGAAAAATCAATTATAAACCATATACAGCATCATCAGTGGTAATATCAGGTGGTAAACTGGGTAAATTCAATTTCGAGTATTTTCACATAAAATCGAATTTCATTTTAAGGGTACGACCAATAGAGTTAGAGTTTAGCTTGGCTGAGCAAAGTTGTAGAACGGAAGCAGCCCTTTTTTTCTGTCTATTCAGATTTTTGATACAGTCCCTATTTCTTATCTTTTTTCAGGTTTTAAGGGTAAATTGGCGGATTTTTCAGCTTTTGTGGTAAACAGCTCAGTTTTAATGATAAATGTGTGCTTGAAAATTTGTCAATGATACATGTGGGTGTGTTGAAGATGTTTATCAATTTCAATTTGGGGGTTGTTCAATGAATTGTGTGTGAAAAAGTTGTATGAGGGTGAATTTCGAGTTTGAGGGGTGTTTTTGTCTTACTTTCTTTTTTTGTGTGTGTTTCAATTTTGATGTAGTCAAGTGTCTCTTTTCCTTCCCTTTGGGAGCCTTTTAGTTAGCAAAAATAATTACTAGATTTTTAGAATAAGCTTTTATCTTTTATTATCATCATTCAGGTAAACAACTAATGAGAGTTGGAATTTTATAATAATAAGACCCTTATTCATCTTTTAATTAATTTCT